GTACCAGTTTTTTGCTCTCTCTGTTCACTAAACTCCATTTAAGGGACCGGGGGTGTAGCTCAGTGGTAAAGGCCTGGCTTGTCATGCTTAGAGCTCTAAGTTCCATCCAGTGTCAGTGTCTCACACACACACACACACACACACACACACACACACGGAGCAGCCAACGGTGTTGGTTCACACCTGTTATCCCAGCTACTCAGGAAGTTGAGCCATGAAGATCACAAGTTCAAAGCCAACCTGGGCAACTTAGTGAAACTCTATCTCAAAACAAAAATAATAATAAATAAATAATAAAAATAAATGACAATAAAAAGGGCTGAGGCCCAACATGGTTCCATATACCTGTAGTCCCATCACTTGAGAGGCTGAGGAAAGAGGATCACCCTGATTTTGAAGCCAGTCTGGGCCACACAGTGCATTTAAGGGCAGCCTGAACTACACAATAGGACCTTGCCTCAAAAAGATGGAAAAAATACTTTAAAAATAAAAAAGAGCTGAGGACAAAGTTCAGAGGTAGAATGCTCATGGGTTCAATCCCTAGAACTAAAAGACTAAATTACTAAACCCCATCACACTCACAAGAACCTCTCTCAACATTCTCCAGGGGGCTGGGGATGTAGCTGAGTGGCACAGCACCTGCCTGGCAAGCATGAGACCGAGTTTGGTTCCCAGTACCAAAACAAGTGAAAAATAAAAATCTTTCCTATCTGCACCCCGTGATCAGCAGCAGCAACTAAGGCCTAACAACTCACACCCTTAAAAAGGCTTCTTGCTCAGTCCTAAGCTGTGGCTCACATCCCATGCCTAGACGAAGCTGTGTGACTCATGGTCACTCCAGGGTAGTGCCCAAACCTCAGAGGAAAGACGTGGTGTTTCCTTCCCTCCTCCCAAGTGCACAGCCCACTGGCCCCTGTGAGTGTGCACACACCCAGAGGTGCCCTCTTCCAGGGGCCACACGGATGTGACCCTGAGGCAGCTTCCATAGGCACTTAGCTCTCTGGCACCACCTTCCGCAGCTCTGAGGCTGCTCCCTGCATTTTCTCCAGGCTGTCCTCCGCGGGAAGCTGCATTTCCTACATCTATTCTTTTTCACCCCAGGCTTGCTGGGGGAGTACTTTGCCACTGAATTGCACCCCCATCCCTGACCATCTTTCATTTTTAATTTTTTTTGTTTGGTACCAGGGATTGAATTCATGACTGCGCGCTTGTAAGACAGGCACTTATGCTGCTCAACTAAATTCCCAGCCCCAAATGTTACATCTTTGACTGGCTTTTGTTTTAACTCTTTTTTTATTTTTTAAATTTTAAATTTTTATTTTTATTGTTAGTACCGGGGATTGAACTCTTAACCTCGCGTTTGCCAAGCAGGCACTTATGCCACTGAGCTAAATTCCTGGTCCCCCATTTTTAATTTTTTTCCAGCTATGGGAATTAAACTACATCGCCAGCTCTTTTTTATTTTTTATATTGAGTCAGCATCTCACTAACTTACCCAAGTTGGCTTCAAACTTGCAATCCTCCTGTGTTATGGTGTTTATCTAGATGTTTCCCCAAAGACTATGCACTCACAGGTGGGACTTGACGGAGGTAATTGGATCGTGGTTGTATGACACTGGATTAGTTCACTGATTGGTTTAGCACAGTTCTGAGTATGGATGGATTTCCTAAAGAGGGAAGACACTTTCTGGGTGTGGGTGGCACCAACCAATGGGCTTGTAGCCTGGATAGAATAAAAAGGGGCAGGAAGAAGGCTCGCTGTCTCCTGCCTGCCATGCTGTGGACTGTTTTTCCTCTGCCATGACCCTCTGCCATGCCACTCTGCCTTGGAACCAACTATGAACCAAAGCCAATATAGATTGCGAACTAATTTTTCCTTCTTTAACCTGTGTGTGTTGGGTATTTGTCCCAGCAATGAGAAGATAATTAGGACATCCTGCCTTGGCCTATCAGAGTTCTGGATTACAGGTATGTACCACCGCACCCAGCTTCTGCACCTCTTTTGTAGCATTCAACCCAGAAGTCATTCAATAAACACTTTGTAATAATGGAGAATGTTCTTACTCTCCCTTCATAGGAGACTCTGTTTCCTCTACAGGTAGATATTCATTTAAGAATATCTACCTAGGGGTTGGGGATTTAGCTCAGTGGTTCAAGCACTTCACTGGTAAATGTGAGGTCATCATGAGTTTGATCCCTGAAATAATAATAATAAAAAAATCTTCCCCTAATAAAACAGAAGTGGGGCAGGCTGGGGATGTAGCTCAATAGTACAATGCTTGTCTAGCATGCACAAGGCTCTGGATTCCAACTCCAGCACCACAGAAAAACAAAAGAAAGGAAGGATGGGAGGAAGGAAAAAAGAAGGGAGGAAGGAAAAAAGAAGGAAGGAAGGGAGGAGAGAAGAAAGGAAGGCTGGAGGAAAGGAAGGAAAGAGTATGGATGTTCCTTCCCTTGCCTCAAACACGGTTGACTCCACTCACCCTCAGGGAGCACTTCAGGGAGCCCAGGCAAGTGCCTCCCCGGAGCTATTAACCTACCCCTTGACTTAGTTAGGGAAGAACAGCAGTCCCAAGGCTCAGTGCGTGTGCAGAGTGCCACAAAACAGCTCAAGTGCTCGAGCCCCAGCCAGACTTTCTGAAAAACTTCTTTGTGTAAATTCATGGGTCCAGGCTATAAACCCGGACAGGGAGCCCCAGCGCTGCCCCTGGGCACTCAATCACTGTGGCGTCTCAGCGGCAGGTCTCAGTTTCCAGCCAGTGATGGTGGCCCTGATGAGAGGCAGGGCTCTGGTTTCAGGTTTCTCAGCCACGTTATCTAAGGACTGCTTACTGGGGATTTGATCAGGGCTGGTTTGGGAGAGAGGCAGACAACCGTCTTTGCCCCAGAACAGACTACTCTTTGAGCCCTGCCGCCACCGGACTGGGGATGGGAGAGAGAAAACAAAAATCCCCACTGTATGTGCTTCTGTGGAATTTAGCTTGGCCCTAGAGAGGGAAAATTAGAGAGCAACTTTGCTCTTCGGTCCGCAGCGCCCTCTGCAGCAGCGAACCCCAGTGACGCTGGGCAGGGTTAGCAGTGAGGCCCACCTCTCAGCGGGGCAGCCGGCTCCCCACCCGTTCCCAGGTGAACACTGAGGCCCTGAGCGAAGCAGGCTGCGGTCGTGGCTGCGCCGCTGTTTGCAGTGCTGGGGATAGATTCTGGCACCTTCTCAGCCCCAGTCCCGGCCCGGCCTGTTTGATGTAGTCTCTTTGCAAAACAGAAGCTTCTCGTTACTCTAAGCTCTGAAGGAAGGATGAATCCCACGTAAAGGCAGGATAAAGACAGTCAGTGAGCCCACAGCCCCTGGTGAAGTTACTCTGTTCTGCAGGTCCCTCATCCCTTTGCTGCAATAGGGGATGCAAGGGAGGGCAGGGTCAGGGTAGGTGTTTGGGGTAAGAAAAGGTCCTGCAGAGAAAGAGATTGCTGAGTTCTCCCTCAGCTTCTTTTATTCTTCAGTGGTGCTGGGGATGGAACCCGGCATGCCAGGCAAGTGCTCCACCACTGAGCTACAGCACCAGGTCCTCTAAACTTTTTTTACAACCTTTTTTTCCCCCTAAACTTTTTTTTATTACTCTGGAGCTTCTAGAATATTCTACTGGCTTCATGAGGATTCTGGTATTCCTCCAGGCATCTTTCCCTCACAGGAGGGATACTGGGGTGAGCCAATGGGAGAGGCATGCACTGAAAGCTTGATTCTCCATCATAGGTTTTTGTTTTGCTTTGGTTTTTGTTTGTTTGTTTGTTGTTTTCATTTTTGTCTTTTTGAGACAGAGTCTCACTGCTTGAGTTCACTTTATAGCCTAGGCTGACCTTGAACTTGCAGCAATTATCCTGCCTCAGCCTTCTGAGTGTCATCATCAGTGTTTTAGAGAGACAGTTTACACTCTAACTTTTCCTTCAGAGGATTTGTTTGTTAGTGTGCTTGCTTCCTCATTTGTTTTTTTTTGTTTGTTTGTTTGTTTTATCGGTACCAGGGATTGAACTCATGACTGCCTGCTTGCAAGGCAGGTGCTTATGCCACTGAGCTAAATCCCCAGCCCCACCTCATTTGTTTTTACGCAGTCTCATCATGGTGGCCAGACTGGCCTTGAACTTGTGATTCTGCTGCCCTCAGCCTCCTGAGTAGTTGGAACTACAGGTGAACAGAACCATGCTTCTTCGGAGGATTTAGCAGGACCTTGGGGATTTCAGCCGAGTCTCTGAATTAGTGTTCTCTTTGAAATTAGTTACCCTTTTGCACTACATTTTCAGTCCACTGATATTTTGGCTTTCCAGACTGAATATTTTTCCTTTTGATAGGTTTTTCATTTATATTTTATACTGTTCTTGGGGGAAATTCCTACTGCTTTTAGAGGAAAGCACCTCTAGGCAGAGTAGACTGTGGATTTCTTACCATTAATGAGCGGAGCTAAAGGAATGAGAACACTTGGAGAGAATAAGGAGACCAGCTATAGTTCGAGGCTAGCATGCAGCTCTGTTGGGAGATGGCAAAGTGAAACGTCACAGGTCATTGGCAATGTGTCATTAAAGCCCCTTGAACTGGCACCTCCACATACCTGAGCCAAAGTGACCTTTGTCTTTATAAGTTGTCTCAAGTATTTGCGATAGTGACAGCTGACTGGTTCTCCTGTGAAGAGAACCCAGGTCAGAATTCACAAGTATGCTACACTGAAAGATGAGCTAGAGACAGGAATAGGCAGATGCAGGAGAGCAGAAACCAGGGCAAGAAAGTGGCCTGAGGAACAGAGAGAACCAGAGGCAACACCAGTGCCTGGTGGACAGGGCAGTACTCTTCATGCTCAGGAGGTGTCATGGTTTATGTCTGTGGCCCCCAGGCCTCAGGAGTTTGCATTGTGTTCGAGATTGGTTCATTGTCTAGTGCTTGGACTGATGTCAGTGCTACACCCACAAAGGGGTGGAGCCAGGATGTGATGTAATGGCAGGAAGTAGGAGTGTCTGTCTTTTTGCTGGTTCTGGCTTGCTGTTTGCAGCCGCCTTGAACTGTGGCCCAGCCATGCCCACCTGCCTTGGAGCCAACTGAGTGTGGACTGAAACCTCCAAAAACTGTAAGAAATAAACCTTTCCTTTCCCCAGTTTGGGCTTCAGGTATTTCGTCTCAGCGACGAAGTAAAAAGTAACTAAGACAGGAGGTAAGGATAGGTTTGTTGGCCTGCAGAAGAGGGAGCTCTTGAGAGGCATCTAGTCAAACCTGAGGCTAAATACAGGATTCTAAAGATAGGAACAACAGGCTTCAAGAAACAGGCAGAGAGCAGATAGCACAAAAAGAGCTTCATAAAGTCATTTTTGAGGGGAAGGATTTCATTGCTTTACCATAAAACAAAGAAAGAGAACTTGGCAATTTGTACACAGAGAACATAGCTGGCCATGCAGAAGTTGATCAGATGCTGGGTTGGCCTGGTCACTGACACAGGAGGTGTGGGACTCAGATGGGAAAACACTGTTTTTAGGTGAAGGAGTCCCCGACATACAGGTTCAATCTGAACTGATGTAATGAACTTGGGACCAAACGGAATCTTATCAAGAATTGCCTGATGATGTTCCATAAGTCTCATTCCGATTCTGGGCCCCTCGGTTTAATATTTAATGGTGTTTTCCATCAAAGCAAGGTTGCCAATTAAAAGGATCTGGACAGCCAACATGGCAATATTGAAGTTGTACTAATTTAAAATTAGCCCTGCTTCTTTAGCTACGGAAACTAAAAAAAAAAAAAAAAAAATAAAATAAAATAAAATAAAATAAAATAAAATTAGCCCTGCTATTGTTAAATGCTGAGGCAATTAGTGGATATGACAATGGTGAGCCAAAAAGGGGCAGAAAAAAATGTCACAAAGCCAACACACAACCAGCTAGAAGCCTTGTGATCCAGTGGATTCACTGATCAGCAGGAAACTGGGCAAAGGGGGATCCCTGTATTGTTCCTTACAATGCATGTGAATCTGAAATTATCTAAAGATTAATATACATATAAATAAGTGAGCTGAGTTATCAAGCATAATGAAGTAACTATTTGTCCAAATCAAAAGAAAAGCATTATTTGCCAACCAATTTGAAATGCTTCTATTATAATAACCTAATATCTATTATTTATTTGGTTTATTTATTTATTTATTTATTTTTGTCTTTTTCCTTTTTATCGGTACCGGGGATCAAACTCACGACTGCCTGCTTGCAAAGGCAGGTGCTTATGCCGCTGAGCTAAATCCCCAGCCCCCTTTATTTGGTTTATTCAAGTTCATATTCTTTGCCCATTGGTGGGTCTATTCACGTGTCAATAATTTTTTTTCTTTTTGGCAGTACCGGAGATTGAACCCAGGACCCAGCAAGCAAATATCCCACCACTGAGCTACACCCTGGGACCAACAATATAATTTTTAAATTTATTTTTTATTTTTGAGACAAAGTCTCAGTATGTAGCCCATTCTGGCTTCAAGCTTGCAGTGATTCTCCTACCTTATTCTCACAGGTGCCAGGACTATAGGCATCTACCATCTAGCATCTAGCATGATACAATTTTAGTTAAAAAAAAAAAAAGTAGGAAAAAGAAGCCAGGCAGGTCAAGAGGCAAAAGAAATGCCAATAAGTTCAAAAACAATAATAATATCTCCACTTGAAAGTCAAGGTGTTGGAAGGCTGCTAAGGTAGGGAATTGGCTCTCTCAGTTTTACTCCACATACACATATCACTTAAGATGTGAATATTAGCTGAGCATGGTGCACACAGCTGTAATCCCAGCACTATGGGAGGCTGAGGCAGGAGGGCCGTAAATTCGAGCGCAGCTTGAGCAACTTTGTGACTTAGTGAGACAGATGAAAAGTGCCTTTTTCACTTTTCCTGTGCAGGTTAGAGAGACATGGCCTGGCCGGCAGCTGTCTGCCCCTCCACTCCCTCCCCTTCACTCGCCCTCCCCTTCTCAGTGCACTGGGACAGCTTGTTTCCCGGTCCCGTGGCCATCAGACCACCACTCTCCAGCACGAGTGCAGCCAGACAGGCACAGCGTCCCCCACCCCAGTCACTTCAGACCACTCCCCTGTGTTTTTGAAGAACAGTGCAGGGGAGTGTGGAGGGGGTGTGTCCCGGAGAGGCTAAGCTCAGGAAGGTGGGGATCTGCACCCCTTATTTTCATACCCAACATTCACGCAGCCTTTCAGTCCAGCCCCTCGGTGACAGGCTTGCAGCTGATCCTGTTTAGTCTGGGGGTTCCCTCCTGTGTATTGATTCCCTTGCACTGCAGCCCAGGGCCTATTCAAATAAGACTTCCTTTACACCTGAAGTTCCTGTAAACTTGCTCGTGATTTCTAAAGTCCTATAAATGCCTGTGGGGCCCTTGTCCTGAGCACAGTAATGTGAGAAGAACAGTGGCCTCAGAGTCAGAGCAAGAGCAGCTCCTGGTAGAGGGGCAGTGACTAAGCTGCCTGAGTCAACCGCTGACGTTTAGCGTCCTCTGGTGATATCTATCATCATGGCCAGCATGGCTTGCAGTCTGCCCGTTCACAATTTCCGTCTGAATCCAGCAGAAGCGCCCACCCCTCACCTGGGATTCTAAAAACCCAGCTCATCTCCAAAGTGAAGGAAAGCTATGGGCACAACAGGGGCACCTCCGACTGAGGCAAGGAAGCAGAGGTTCAGAGGCCACGCTGTGTTCAGCCTTGCTGTGTGGAGGGAGAGTTGGAAACCAAGCTATAGCCAGTCCAGGAGTGGAGAACTTCACATCGTAGGCAATGTTTTCATGTAGAGATTAACGAAAAGAAACTTTAAAAACCATTTTCTTGCAGACTGGTTCAACCACTGTAGAAATCAGTGTGGAGATTCCGCAAAAAAATAGGACTGGAGGTCTGATTGGCCTCAACTATTCCCCTTCTGGGGATCTTCCTAAAAGAACTAAAAACATCCTACCACAGCCATATATGTGCACCTTTGTTCATAGGAGCACAATTTGTAATAGCTAGATCTTGGAAACAACCTAAATGTCCATTGACTGAGGAATGGATGAAAAATATGTTGATTTTTTGTGTGTGTGTGTGATCGGGGATCGAACTCATGACCGTGTGCTTGCAAGGCAGGTCCTTATGCCGCTGAGCTAAACCCCTGGCCCAAGATGTCAAAGTTTTATACAATGGAGTACTACTCAGCCATAAATAAAGATGAATTGGAGACTTTTATAGGTAAATGGATGCATCTTGAGGCCATACTCATAAGTGAAATAAGACACACGTGTAAACACTGTATTGTTTTACTAGTGTGAGAAGCGGAAAGAAACAACATATGTATGTGTATGTGTATATATATATATATATATATATATATATAGTTAAGATAGTTATATTACCAATTTCTCTGAGTTCACTGAAGGGAAAGACTTATGCTGGTATTGTCAACAATTGAATGCAGATGTCTTGTGCTCAGAGTGAATGATTTGGGGATGTACAATATATGTACAATTGTTGCCCCGATTGACATGTTTTGAAAGTTTGTTTTACTTTTTTTTTCTTCTTTGTTTTTCCCTTCATTTCCTTGTAATAAAATGAACTTGGAAAGAAAACCAACACCACACAAAAAATGTTTTTCTTCACTTGAGAACCAAATCCTCCAAATCCTTCCTTCAGCTCCACTCATTTACCTGCCATTTTTTTTCCCAGCTGGCCTGCCCCATCTAGACTCCTTTGGGCTCTCTGTCCTTGCCTACTCAGGAAGTTAGGAAGGCAAAGGAAGCCAGCTGGGACTTGCTGGGTTCCCACTGGCAGTCAGTACAACTCAATAAATCCTTCATCAGGACTTGCTCCTAGTGATATAGGAGAAATATAACTCCTGACCTGTTAGATGTCAAACATGCTGAGTTTGTGTTCTACAGAATCAAGGAATGAAGTCATGAACCAAAGGAAGAAGTCAGGAGAGGTTTATTGGAAATAAGGAGAGAAGAATGGCCCCTGGGTTTCCAAACGGGTCCCGAATGGAGTGGCCACCAAGGCCTTTTGTCAAGGTAATTTACACAGCAAAGTCACAATGTGGGTACGACATGGGTCAAACTGCAATCAACCTATAAAATTATAAGTATAGCTGCTTGGCTAATATTGACCCAACAGGAGATAAGTCAGTCACATAGCCAGGGTGTGTGGAAAGAGCAAATACATTTTAGGGAGGGGATGGGTGGAGATGCGCTTGTCACTCACCTAAACAGATAATGCCTCTCTGGACTTACTGGGCCAAATGGTGCTAATTACAGTGCACTCCCAAGTCACTGTTTACCCCCCAGGGAGGCACCCTATCCCTGGCCACTGCTTCTTTATCTTGAGGCCTGATCTTCTTCAGATGCACCTACAGCCAATTCTACTGTCTGTTTTTCAGTCCTTCCTTTATTATTATTATTTTTTTATTGGTACCAGGGATTGAACTCACAACCACCTGTTTGCAAGGCAGGTGCTTATGCCGGTGAGCTAAATCTGCAGCCCATTCCTTCTCTGTCTATATGTTAATTTCTGTCTAACTTATTTGCCTGTAATACTAATGGCTGGGAATACAGCTCAGCGGTAAAGCACTTGCCTAGCATGTACAAGGACCTGAGTCAAATGAGACCTCTAGTCCTAGTTTTTTGAGGAATCCCTACACAAATTTCCACAGTAGTGGTTCCAGGCTACTCTCATCAACAGTGGAAAAGAGTTCCTTTTCTCCACAGCCCTGCCAGCATTTGTTACTGGTTGATTTCTTGATACCAGCCATTCTTTCTGGGTGAGGTGGAATCTCAGCATTGTTTTAATTTGCATCTCATGAATGACCAGTGATGTTGAACATTTTTTCATATATGTATTTGTTGTTCATACTTATTCATCCAAAAAGTGTGTATTCATCTCAGATGCCCATTTTTGGATTGGGTCTTTAAATTTGGAGAGGGGTCTGAATTTTTTGAGTTCTTTATATGCTCTCAATAGTAATCAGGTGAGCTTTAATTATTGTGTCATAACAAGGTGGTAAATGCCCCCCAGGTGGAAATTATCTTGGCCAAAGTCCCATTGCTGGGAGGCACTCACAGAGATTTACCATAACTCCACTC